TTTCCATGGCAGCTGCATAATTGTACATTCCCATCAATAGTGTACAAGGGTTCCAGTTTCTCCATATCCTCACCAACACTTGTGCTTTTCTTTCTTTTTTTTTTTTCTTTTTTGATAATAGCCATCCTAATGGATCTGAGGTGAAGGAACATATTACTTCAACTTAACTTTACTATAAAAGCTTCTTACTATTTTGCCTCTTGGTCTAGTAGTCCAACTTTGTAACTACAAAATTTTCTGTTCTGCCTCAGTTTTTTCAGTAACCTACTTGGCTTATAGGGTAGCATATATGAATCAGTTTTGTAGTAAGTATTCATGATAGTTTCTGAGCCATTTAAAACAGAATCAGGAGTTAACTGAGATGGTATTGATGATGATAATAAAAGAAGTAGGAAACATAAAACAATTCAAGTAATATTAATGAATTAATGGATTATTGCATTTGTAAATTCACATTTATGAATGGCAGTCCAAACCCACCTTTAGTTATTCACTGTTAATAATAACATGCTAGATGTTGTCAAGTTAATGAGTTAGAATGGTTGAAGCTAAATAAAAATGATGCAATATGAAGTTTCTTATAACTAAAAGTTCAAAGTAAAGATAGTGAATTTAAGTTTTAGTTAAAGCTAAGGAAATGCAAAAGGAAAGTTAATTTTGTGCAAGGACAGCTGGTTAACACCGCATGTGAATTCATTTAGCTGTATGTTTTGTATTTTACAGATTTCTTTGTGTGAAAGAAAAATTTCTAGTGAAAATTAATGTCAAAATTTTCTGAAAATCAGGTTCTAGGATTTATCCCTCAATTAATGCAGAATGCGTTCTCAAATAATCTTAATCAAGGGTCCTTCCAGGGGTGACATTCAGCCGGTGTTCAAGGCCACAGACTTTCTATCCTAGAACCATGGCCCAGTTTGTCCAAGGCTGCTGGTAAACACTCTGGGACTTACCCAAAGCCTTGATTGACCACATTTTGGCACTATGCCAAGATTGAGCTGGTTCCTCCAACCCCTGCTGAGACCTTTGCAGCTATTCAGAGCTTGAAAATAATAGTCAGTAGTGCTCAAACTGGTAGCTTCAAACAGCTCACAGTTAAGGAAGTTCTGCTGAATGGTTTGGTGGCCACTGAGGTGTGGATGTGGTTTTATGTTGGTGAGATTATAGGCAAACATGGCACCATTGGCTATATAATGTTTGAAGACCAGTCGTTAACATCTGTTCCTTTTAGGTTTATTATTTGAATGTTCTTGGACCATGTGTGACCAGACTGGTATTTGGATAAAATGTGTCAAAATCAGTATTTTCTATATCAAACACTGCATGGAAGGTCACATTTTCTCTTGTCATTACGTTGTATTGTGTTTTGCTTTAACGATGTTCATATAGCTCAAAATGCATGTCTTTGCTTAGCCTGAAATTGGAAAGGATATATGTGACTATACCAACCTGTTAAAATATTTATAAGGATAACATTTTAATTTGAAGGTTAGAAATAATGTTTACTCCGAGAAAGGTTGGGAGAGAGGCCTTGAGAAAACTAGAACTTGATATAGTAGGAGAAATAGTAATACATGTACCAAAGTTAAATCATGTCAGTAGTATAAAGAATAAAATTTGGATGGCTTCTCTTTGCTAAAAACAAACAAAAACATTAGTCATGATTTTTAAGGAAAGCTTAAATTATATTTCTTATAGCCAGATTACTAAGGCAGATAAATTGTTTATATGTTAGAAAATGTTTCCTTTAAAAAGCATTTAACAATGGCATATTATTAAATCATAAAGGGATATAAAGTATTGATACATACTATTGGGTTGTCGGAAAAGTAATGATGTATCTTTGCAACAGATGGCACTAGTTCATTTTTGGAGGTACTAGAGTTATTCGCATCTATGTTGCTATATCATTTGACAGCTGACAGTTTTAGCTTCATTCTAAAAAAAAAATTGAGCCATTTGGTTGAGTTTTGAAGATTTTACAACAAGTTGAAGATGGAAGACCAAACTATGCATTTTTGCCATATTTTACTGTTTTACTTCCATAAAGGGAAGAACGTGCATCAACCTTGTGAAAAGTTGCATGAAGTTTATGGTGACAATGCTCTACGAGAACATCAGTGCCAATGGTGGCTCACAAAATTGCGTGCTGGGTATTTTGATCTCAACGATGCACCTCGGTCAGGGAGGCCCATCGAGGTTGATGACGACAAAATAAAGGCATTGATGGAGTCAAACCCACGTTACATGACACGAGAGATTGCAGAAACATTGAACATCCATCATTCAAGCATTCACAACCACCTGAAGAAGCTGGGATATGTAAACAAGCTCGATATTTGGGTTCTGCATGAACTCAAAGACGTTCATTTGATGGCGCATGTAAACATCTGCAATATGCTCATTAAATGTGAGGAAAATGAGTTTTTTTTTTTTTAAGATTTTTATTGGGGAATTGGGAGATGGGAACAGCGCTAGGGAATTGGGGGAAGGGGTACAGACAAGTTGCTGTCGTTTTCTTCAGTCTAGTTGTGAAGGACGTTGCTTCACTGGCCCAAGTTGGCACCATCATTGTGCTCTTCCTGGGCGAGGCAGATCAGTCACTGCTCACTGTGGCTGCTGGCCACTCACGCTGGCTGCTGGCTACACACGGTAGCCCATGGCAACCCACTGCAGCAGGGGTTGCAACCACGCCGTCGCCTCATGGCAGCCCATCTCCAAGTTGAGCTGTTGTTCAGCATCTTAGCTGTGGAGGGCAGTGTCACTGGCCCTCATAT